CCTAGGTGATATTATCCCACAACTTTATGATAAGGCACAGTACATTTATGTAGGGTAGTGTTTCTCAAACATTTTAATACCAGGAACTAGCTCACTGCCACCCTACACTGTTGCAGACCATTAAAATGCAAGTACAATGAAAAACCAATATGATTTACATATGAATATTCTGAAAGTTTTTGTTTGTTTGTTTGTGAAGCATTTGTGGATATTTGAGCATTTTTACTACATTTCAAATGCTTCAGGAATTAAAAAAATATGTATATTATATAAAGTTCTGTGCAAGTCTAGGCAAGACATGCATATATGCTATGAGAAGAAACGTGTAATACAGAACAAAGGTCAATTATATAACAATGATTGACTGAGAGAGAAAAAGTAGGTGAAGTATAAATGAAAGATGCTTCCAGAATTAAATGTCAATAACACATCTGTGAGAATGTTTAGATGAAAGACAGGGCATGAGATTGATATCTACAGACTGATGCACCACAGCAGAGAAAAAGTTTATGCTAAAGGGAGGAGTCGGGACTTTGATGTAGGATTGATGTCAAGAGAAGGGAGAGTAATACAAGCAAATAGGCCACTGATTTACAAACTCTAACTGCAACCAATCATTAAGTTTTGTTTCTGGAAAGTCCAGTGAGTTTGCAGAAATTGTCCAATGAAGTGTCAGAAACTACTTGCGGGTAGGTATGTCTACTATTTGGATCCTCGCAAGAATACCAAGAAAACTTTGTTTTGAGCTGAAAAATAAGTTTCCCAGGATCACCTGAACCTAAAAGAAAATTCGCCCCAGTGCTGAAGAAGTATCTCTGACAAAGAATTGAGTTCTCAGTTCTCTATGACAGTTAGTGAAGAAGATGTAAAAAGTTCACACAGAGACCAGAACACCATTTCAACCTTGATGTAATTTATTATTGCTATATCTCTCAATCAAGTAACGTAGTTAAGAGGCTTATGTAAAAGGATATAATGTTAAAAGAGAACTCATATTTTGAAATACATCAGAATATTTTCTTACTAATAGTTTAATCAAGAAACTTTTAAGTATAGTAGATGAGTTGGTGAGAACTGTACTGAAATTGGTTGAATGAGATATCAGAATATTGTGTGTAAAACTTGTAACTTGAAATATACATGTTATTTTAAAACTTGATGTGTTTTTGAAACCTCAGTCTCAGAGTCAATTCTTTAATTTCACTGTAAATTTCCTCGAGTTAGTGACTTGTGTACTCCACTCACGACTGTATTTCTGGATTTAATATAAATATATTGCAACTGGTCGAGTTCCAACGACTAACCTGCACAGCCACCTGTTATATTTGTTTTTGTAAAATCCCATGTATCAGAATAGTGGTTGTGGTGGACTGTCACCACACCATGGACCAGTAGTTGAAAAACACTGATGAAGGGTGGTGGTGTATCAAAAGCAAGTAAGACAGTAGTCAGGAAATGATAATAAATAATTAAGAACAAGTTATTCAAAACTTTTGAACCAATGATGCAAGAAATACTGTCACTGGGAAAAGTTTTCTTTCACTTCACAGTTTCGAGTTATTTTTTATTCTGTTTATATTTGTTTTTTTTTACTCTGAAGAAAGTAGAGTTGTCCCCAAATATTGTAAAAAATAATTAAAAACCATCAAGTCTCAAGAATATCAGGATTTAGAATAAAACAACTTTTTCAGAGATTAGTGAATTTTAGTGTTTGTGCACAAAATGTGCAGAAGAGAGGCAGTAATAGATCAACTTGGAACTTATTACTTTACCTATTTAATGTAACTAAATTTTTTAAAGCAGATATTGAGTTAAATGTTTGAATTTCTTTCAAACTGAAACATTATGGTGTACAAGTTCTTCAGTTAAATTTAGTGGATTAATGTCAATGTAATTTCATTTTTTATGACTGTTTACTGTTTTTTAAGTCTAATTTTGGCACTTTGAAGAAAAGTATGGCAAAGCATTTATAAACTCTCAAATTATAAATGTACATGATATGTCTAGTATTTCCTCTATGATAACTTACCAAAATGTACACCATACGTTTAGTATTTCCCCTATGATAACTTACCAAAATGTACACCATACGTTTAGTATTTCCTCTATGATAACTTACCAAAATGTACACCATACGTTTAGTATTTCCTCTATGATAACTTACCAAAATGTACACCATACGTTTAGTATTTCCTCTATGATAACTTACCAAAATGTACACCATACGTTTAGTATTTCCTCTATGATAACTTACCAAAATGTACACCATACGTTTAGTATTTCCTCTATGATAACTTACCAAAATGTACACGATACGTTTAGTATTTCCTCTATGATAACTTACCAAAATGTACACGATACATTTAGTATTTCCTCTATGATAACTTACCAAAATGTACATGATATGTTTAGTATTTCCTCTATGATAACTTACCAAAATGTACATGATATGTTTAGTATTCCCCTATGATAACTTACCACTCCATTGCTTCATCTAAACCTTCTCCTTTTATAGCAGAGGTTTTGAATATCTGGAATGTTCGGCTCTTTAAAGCATCTAGGCCTAGAGCTTGGTGAACTTCTGCTACACTCATAGCTCCATCAATATCCTGTTTATTAGCTAGAACAACTAGAATTGATTTTTTCAGCTCATCCTCCTATAAACACAATATTATTTCAGATAACTAAATTTTTCTTGTAAATTGTAATATTTAATTTATTGGACTAAATTGTCTAAAGTTTGAAATAAACTATTCAAACCAACAAGTGTTTCATATAAAAAAACTGCTAAAAAATCCCTATCAACTATGACTAATTTATAAATATGCAAGAGAACATTTTCTACGATTACTAGTTTACAGTTTATACAATGATAACTCAGGAGTAATTTTCTTATTCTTAGTTTCATTTCTAATGTGTTTATATGAGACATATAAAAGAAAGCTAATGATGTTGAACTAATCTCTCATGGAGGGGATGGTAAGCAATACCAATAGAGAGAGTAATAAACATTCCAGCTCTGTATTGTAAAGTTGGAGGATCACTGTCTATTGTTAGGCTTCACATATGCACTTCGTCCACTTTGGAGAATTGAATCCTTTTTATTAACCTTATTGCCGACTCATCAGGGAACTACATTTACCTAGCCGTTTATCAATTACTCTACAAACAAGTTAGGGTGAACAGACTGGTAATAACTAGCCCTAAAAACTTTGTTAGAACAAAGAAAAAAAATTAGCTGTATCACATCTAAATCATATCACAAATATTAATAATTTTTTTCTCTTGTCTAAATAAAGAATAGAAATATTTGTTTTGTTCACTGTATTTCTCTCTCTCTCAAATACTAAATGTTCACTTACCTTCAACATTGACACGAGTTCTTCCTTAGATATACCTATTCTGTCTCGATCAATACTATCAACAACATAAATTATTGCATCTGTGTTGGAAAAGTAACACCTCCAGTAAGGCCTGGAAAAGAACAAAGATATATCATTACAAGCAGATATTTTCAATAATCATTAAGCTTTGTAAAGATAATTTTACATTTATTCTTTGTATATTAAATTTTTCTGGAAGTAATTTTTGTCCCTAAACATCCTACTTTTGTTTTAATATTACAAACAAGAAAACAATTTGATTTAAAGTGAAAGATATGAAAAATAACACCATAAACAGATATTCAAATAAATAGATCAATTCTCTGATATAAAGAAGAGGTTATTTACTGTCAAGTGTGGTAAGAGAATATCTAATCAAACTCCCCTGAGACCTAAAGTTTAGAGCATATAATTTATATTAGAAAGTTGAAAAAATCCAATAAGTGAGTCCACAAAGTTCATCTTGGAAAAACTGAAATTACAAGAAATTCAAGGACATTCCATGCCCTTGGACAGAATTTATGTACATAACAACAAGAAGCTACACACATAATAAAGATATCTATCACTTACAAATATTTTAATAGTTTTTCCCTTGTTCTTCAGTTCTACTATAAGTTTGTCTATCTTTAAACTTCTGACCACTTTTGTTTTGCATTTCTTCATGTTGTGCTAAAGTTACACAGAGAAACCAATACAACTTTACCATGTTAGTAGCAGCATTAGTTTCGCACTGTTCCATTATACTGTTTGTTGATCGTAGCAATACCTCACTCTTTTTATTAAGCATTTTCTATTATTATCAATATCAATATCCAGGGCTTTCCATTTTTCAGCTTTTTTTGGTTTCTTCTGCCCTCTCTCTATTTTTATAAGTGTAAATAACATCCCTGTCTACCATTCTGTGCTGAGGCAAGCTTTTATTTTTTGTTATCACAACCTCCTGTATGAAGCCCCCCCCTCTCCCCTATTTACAAGGAAATTACTGACCCTTCCTTCATGTTTTATGGTAATATTTGCTTGTTCACAGAGAATCCCTTCTCCACAGATGCTTGACCGTGGGACAGGATTAGTAAGGACCTCACCAGCTTCTACACTTTGGTGAACAACTATTACTCCCCATAAAAAGAGAGTAGCCACACAATATTACTTCCCATAAAAAGAGAGTATCCACACAATATTACTCCCTATAAAAAGAGAGTATTCACACAATATTACTCCCCATAAAAAGAGTATCCACACAATATTACTCCCCATAAAAAAAGAGTATCCACACAATATTACTCCCCATAAAAAAAGAGTATCCACACAATATTACTCCCCATAAAAAAAGAGTATCCACACAATATTACTCCCCATAAAAAGAGTA